GTGGGTCCAGAGAAGGGCAACAAGGCTGGTGAGAGGGCTGGAAAACATGCCTTATGAGGACCGGCTGAGGGAACTGGGGTTGTTTATTCTGGAGGAGACTGAGAGGAGACATCATTGCTCTCTGCAACTAGCTAAAAATAGGTCACAGTGAGGCTGGTTTTGGTCTCTTCTCCCAAATTACTGATGGTAGGACAAGGGGAAATGGCCTCAAGTTGTGCCAGGGAAGATTTTGAATAGATATTAGGAAGAATTTCTTCACTGAGAGAGTGTTCAGGCACTGGAATGGGCTGCCCAGGGAGATGGTGGAGTCACATACCTGGAGGTGTTCAAGAAACAAGTCGAAGTGGCACTTGAGGCTATGATCTAGTGGTTAGGGAAATGTTGGGAGGAAGGTTGGACTTGATCCTGGAGGTCCTTTCCATCCATGGTGATTCTATGATTCTAAAAAATAGGTGCCCAACTTGCATTAGTTTGACTACACTGAAAGCAACAGGACATAGTTGCCCTGTTCTTTACTTGTTATTGACAAGTAACTTTGTCTCATTCTTACTGTTTGTGGGTTTCTAAATGTGTATAACTATTTTTTATATATGATATATTCAAATGTAGAAATGCTTCTATGTCTATATGCCAATCTCTAGCAGTTACCTTTGAAATTACAAACAGTTTGGTGGAGTTTTGTGCGTGTTTTGACTGAAAAGTACAATTACTGTACAAAGCACTATGGAAAGAGTTCTATTTTTGTGGTATATACTAGCATTCAAGTAGAGAAATACTTCATTGTGGGAAAAATGCACAAAATTCAGATGAGAGATTTTACTGAATATAATTCTCAAAGCAAAATAAAGTTATAATGTATTAAGACACTATTTGATATCCCAATTTAGTCTGTGTATAGTTTAGTGAAGTAGGTGATAAAGCGCATAATGAACCACTGAAAAAAAATTGCTAATACAGAGGAGTAAGCCAAACGTTTAATATACCAACAAGCTACAATGACACACAGTTTGTGTTGTTACTCCCTTTGGTATATGTTTGTGGTATTTGAGTATATTTATGTTTAAATGCAAGGAAAAACACTGAATATTTGCCTATAGATGTGCATTCTACCTACTTGCTCTTGGAAGAAAGAAAATTTCCTATATTGCGTCTCTTTGAATTATAGCTCTCTCCAAGGAAAAGTATTTGTATCTGATTTTAGACCTCCTTTAAACCTCTGTTAATGATAGTCCCTTCTCCTGCTGTTTCAGTACCATCCCCCCATACATGTTGATGAACCTTCTGTGCCTGTTTCTGACTGACTTCAGCCTTCATGAACACTGTGTCCCATGGAGTGGCCATTCTAGCTGAGGTCTCCCTGGTGTTTTGTACACTAGCACTGCATTCTTTGACTCTGCTGGTATAGTCTCTGCCCAAAATATGCTATTATTTTGTCTTTCTTTCTTACTGTTGTGTTAGATTAGGGCTGAATGGCTAGTTCATAGTCCACTTGAGTGGATTTAATGTGTTTTTAGTGTGTCTACAGCGTAGCCATATGTGTCTAAGCTAATCACCTTGGACTCCTCCAGTAGTCTCACAAGTCACTGGAGATAAAATTAGTGGAATCTAAGGCACAATTCATTTCATCTTAAAAGAGGTGTCTAACAGGTCAATTGAGTCACACCTTAAAATGCTTATTTATCTTCTTGTACTGTAAAAAAAACCCTGTCAAGTATAGATTTAGACTTTGCAGATCTGCAAATCAAGAGAAAAAGAATTCTACTTCCTGTGATTCAGGATACATCCCCCTGTTGTGGTGTTTTGTTTTTTTTTTTAATTTCTGTCCTTACATTTTTTTTGTTATATTTTAAATCTAAGCATATCTCTCAACTTTACATATTCAGCACATGGACAGACATTGGGTTTAAACACAGGACTAAAAAGCTAACATTACATCTTATTGTAATATCTTACAGCTTTAAATGTATGTGTAAAAAAATCTTAGGCTTCTGGGATTGTTTTCTGCAATTTCATCTTCAGAAGATTCAGTTACTGATTGTACAAAATGGGATACTGTGCCTTTTAATTATAGATTTCTGATACCATCTGAATCACTGGAAATAGCTAAAGTTACAAAAGTCAGCGCTTTGCCAGTTTTTGTTGGACAGCACATGATTATTACCTTCTAGTTAGTTTGGGATAACTCTGTTTTGTCTTCAGTTTTAAAACTAATCTCCACAACTGCAGCTTACAAATCTTTTTACGGTTTATAGTCCATTTTAGATTTAACTTTATGGGTGATTCTGTAGGAACTGCAGGATAGTAGGATAGAAATGTAGATAATTTTCTAAGAAAGTTGCTGATTTTATCATGTAAAGTTGAAAGGAACTGAAAAGAAGTAAAGCTACTGTAAAAGTAGTAGGCTGTAAGAGACTACTTCCACAGAATATTACAAATAGTACTCCCAATTATTCTAATACTGCAGCTCAAAATGTGGATGAATTTCCAGTATAAAACAAAGTGAATCAAGGCAGTACTTGTGCATCCTTTATGTTATGACAATTCTATTTATTATGCACACAGACACTCATACACATACATCTCCCTACATAAGAGGTGGGGCGGTTCAGACTGGCGAAGAG